TGTCGGGAGCGGGACACGGTCAGCCAGCTGCAGGGCCGCGGCGCCGAGCTGGAGGCAGAGCTCAACCACCGCCTGGCCGGTGACGGCGCCGCCCGCGACCTGCGCGAAAACGCCGACAGGTGGCAGGCGCTCGTCGCCGAATTACAGGAGGTCGGTGGGCTCGCCGCTCGTCTGCGTGACCTTGTCCCAGCTTCCCGTGTGTGAGGCTGTGAGCGTATGCACTTCGTGTCGAGGCATCCCAAGTGCATGTTTGTTATGGATACACACTGTATCTTTTGGGCCCCTTCCGACATGATGTCTCCTTCCAGAGCGCGCTGATTCTCTACGTCCGTCATTCGTCCCCGCGCCACTACACAGCGCGAATCATGTACTCGGCCCCTGCTGTCGACTGAGCATGTCCTCAGTGATGTAATGCATAGGCGTTTCTAGCACTCTGTAGTTAACCATTCAGGAGCATGATGTGGAGCGCCAAAGGTCAGCCCAGGTAATGGGAGATGACATTCATTGAGAAAACGTAAACGTGAGCAGAATACCACCACTTTTATACGAAATTTGCATCTTTGATGGCCTGTCCAGATTGTTCGCATTCTGTACTATCAGCTCGCGAAGGGTTGTCCACAAAGTGGGGCTAGCGCGAGAGCAGAGTCCCACTTAGCGTGAGCCCGACCTCTGCTACATCCTGGCTGGCGCTGCACTAAAGCCGCCCACACGAGCGCTCTGCAGCGCCGCGATTCGGCGTGGCCTGACGCGCGCCGTCGCCGCCGGCCGCCGGCAGACGCTGGCGGAGCGCGAGGCGCGCACGTGCAGCCTGGAGAGCCACATCGCCGAACTGTCAGCGTCGCTGGGGCAGCGCCAGCAGCGCGCGGTCGCCGACCTGGCCACCATCGGCCGGCTCAAGGTACGGCTCAGCACTCTGGGACGCGGTGGAACCGAACGAATGCTTTCTTCTCTAACGCTTGTGTTTTGGTTCTTCGCGGGGGTCCTGCCAGTGTCGTCGCCCGTCTTGTTCCATGCGCTTAGGTGTTGTAGCACCAAGGCTTTACTTGTGCCAGTCTTTAAGGACGCCTTTGTCATGGTGATGGTTTGTGTAAACATCCTCGTCGTGTTGTGATGCTTGTGTTGTGTCAGAACGGTTCCGCTGTGCCCTATCACGGCCATGCGTTGGTCTGTCTGTCGGTGTGGCCGGTCTGCCCGTCTATCAGAACAGTCATGCCATTAGTTATACGGGCATGCAATTCATATGTCAGGACTGTCACGTTGTCTGGTCCGACTGTAAAGATAGTCTTTATGGTGTTCACTCCAGCTGTTCAGTGCATTGGCGAGGAACGTTATGCACATAGATAAGATAATAGTAATAGCCTTACTCCTCGGGGAAAACCAAGAGAATGGAGATATAAACAGGTCTATGTGTCCGGTGTGGGCCATCTATATCTCCATTCTCCTGGTCTTCCTCTAACGAATAAGGCTATTACTACTGTCTAACACATGTTCACTCCAGCCCTTTGCCGGCACACCTCCCGCACGGCCTGTGTGTCTGTCTGTCTGTCAGGTCAGTCCGCCCACGTCAGAGTCCTACGTGTGCCCGTCCAACAGGACCAGGTGGCCCGGCTGGAGGAGGAGGCGCGCCAGGGGGCCGTCCGGCCGCCCGCGGACCCGCACCACGCACTCATCTCCAACGACCCGACCGTCGACTCAGACCTCTCCAAGACCGTGCGCCAGCTGGCGGCGCGACTCAAGGACCAGCAGACGGACCCGGACCTGCTGGCGCCTCTGCTAGGTCAGTGTGGTTCGCCGATGAGGATCCGTGGTGTCGTGATTGTCCCCTGCAGGGTTAGCAGGCTCCGTTGTTGGAAGGAATGATCCGTTAGACGGTGCGCGAATGTGTTAAGTTGCTGTGAAGGGTGATCATTATGGGATGGGTAGAATATCTGTGCGAACAAGGAAAATACGCACCATCTACGGAGATCGGGGTATGTGTTGCAGATTCCTTATGAGATCGATAGCGCTTGCATGATACGTGTGGGGTCGCTGGAGCCGGTTGATAGCGGGAACGATCCGGGGAAGATCACAACACTCTCTGGGGTCGCTGGAGCCTGCTGATACGTGAAACGATCCTGGGACGTATCCGTGTGGTCGACACTGCACACGACGCTGGCTGGCTCCAGTTGAAGTCTGTGCTCATGTTTTGGGACACTGTCATGTGTGTTATTTATAAAAGCGTTTGGTGGTGGCTTGATTTGACCCACGTGTAGCTCATCATCGCATTTGTTGCCGAATTTCATAACATGGGCTACCACTGAAGCTTCTTCCTTTTTTTGTTCCCCCTCCAGTAAGTTTGTTTTCTCAGCGACCGAACTCTCTTACCAGCCCACCGTTTTCACGTACTGTCTGCCGCACACGCGTGGCCAAGGCTTCGATGGACGCTGGAGTCCAATGTAAAATAGACGGCTCTGCTGTCGAGGTCTGGCAAGCGGTGCGACTGACCATGTTGCAGAAATACTGCAGGACGGCGACGACATCGACTGGAAGCAGGAGTACCGGCAGCTGAAGGAGGAGTTTGAGAAGTACAAGGTCCGGGTCATGGCCGCCAGGAAGAAGGACCCGTACGTACCGCCCCGCTGCTGTCCGCCGTCCTTCCGAGCACCTTCGGAGTCTTGGCCACCGCCCTCAATCACTGACCGTGGCTCCTCTGCTCATGGTGTTACGTAAATGTTTGTAGTGCGAATCTGTTTGTGTTTTTTTTCTGTGCGTTGGTTTTACTTCAACCGCGGTCAAACAGCTGTCCCGACTGCAGAACTGACCAAATATTTTGCTTAGCTTGCCATGTCCTGTCTAGGCTCGCCCTGAACATGTTAAGTCTTCAAACAAGAATCAGCGTGAGCACCGCAGATATTTCTGGAATGATGGCTCGGAACGCAGGCTTCCCGCACGTTTGCAATGTTTTCAGCGCGTGTTGCGTGTGCGCTGTGGCTGCTCGCCCTCCTGCAGCTCCGCCTGCCGTTACCCCCGGCCTGCCTTCTACCCTCCTGCAGCTCCGCCTGCCGTTACCCCCGGCCTGCGTCCCGCCCTCCTGCAGCTCCGCCTGCCTTTACCTTTGGCCTGCCTCCCGTCCTCTTGCAGCTCCGCCTGCCGTTACCCCTGGCCCGCCTCCCGCCCTCCTGCCGCTCCGCCTGCCGTTACCTTTGGTCTGCCTCCCGTCCTCTTGCAGCTCCGCCTGCCGTTACCTCCGGCCTACCTCCCGCCCTCCTGCAGCTCCGCCTGCCGTTACCTTTGGCCTGCCTCCCGTCCTCCTGCAGCTCCGCCTGCCGTTGCCCCTGGCCCGCCTCCCGCCCTCCTGCAGCTCCGCCTGCCGTTACCCCGGCCCGCCCCCTCCCCCCGCCCTCCTGCAGCTCCGGCTGCCATTACCCCCGACCTGCCTTCCGTCCTCCTGCAGTTCCGCCTGCTGTTACCCCTGGCCCGCCCCCCGCCCTCCTGCAGCTCCGGCCGCCGTTTCCCCCAGTCTGCCTCCCGCCGTCCTGCAGCTCCGCCTGACGTTACCCCCGGCTCGCCTCCCGCCCTCCTTTAGCTTCGCCTGCCGTTACCTCTGGCCCGCCTCCCGTCCTCTTGCAGCTCCGCCTGCCGTTACCCCCGGCCTGCCTCCCGCCCTCCTGTAGCTCCGCCTGCCGTTACCCCCGGCCCGCCTCCCGTCCTCTTGCAGCTCCGCCTGTCGTTACCCCCGGCCTGCCTCCCGCCCTCCTGTAGCTCCGCCTGCCGTTACCCCCCCGTTTCGCCTCCCGCCCTCCTGCAGCTCCGCCTGCCGTTACCCCCGGCCCGCCTCCCGTCCTCTTGCAGCTCCGCCTGCCGTTACCCCGGCCCGCCCCCCCCCCCCCCCCGCCCTCCTGCAGCTCCGGCTGCCATTGCCCCCGACCTGCCTTCCGCCCTCCTGCAGTTCCGCCTGCCGTTACCCCCGGCCTGCCTCCCGCCCTCCTCCAGTTCCGCCTGCCGTTAACCCCGGCCTGCCTCCCGCCCTCCTCCAGTTCCGCCTGCCGTTACCCCCGGCCTGCCTCCCGCCGTCCTGCAGCTCCGCCGTTACCTCGAGCCTGCCTCCCGCTGTGGCGCGCTTCCTCTGACGCGGCCCGCGCTCCGCCAGAAATCAGACGTGCCCGTCCGTCACCACGGAGCTGGACGCGCTGAGGAAGCAGACGGAGGAGCTGCGCCTGCGTCTGCGCAGGACCTGTGAGGAGCGGGACGACCTGGAGCGCACCCTCCGCTCTCAAGTCAGCCGGCTGGAGCAGGTGAGTGGTCGGCTGACCGGGCGCGCGAGCCCGGTACACAGCTGCGCGCAGCCGGCTTGTCGGCTTGTCCAGAGCGGGGTCTCGTTAGCACGGCAGAGGCAGTCACGGGGTGGTGTTCCATGTAGTTCCGTGGAGATTGGTGTTCCATGTAGTTACGTGTAGGCGTGCCGGGTTCGGTCGCTCTGAACTGGGCTCTTGGATGCCCTGGACCGGATCGTAGACTCTTCCGTGTTTTATTTTTACTGGTGTTTGGTCAACCAGGATGATGATTAGATTAGGATGACTAGGTTGAATTAGGTTGATTAGGATGAAAGAAGCATATTTCGCGGTAGTGGGTCTGCTCATTGGTAGGAGCTTGTTGGGCCGCCTTTACTTGAATTCGAGAGAAGTTCAGAATTTAGCTGCTTGCTCACTTGAAGCCCTCATGTTATTGGTGTGCAGCTTGCCTGTCACTCTGAGCCAACCGTGGTAGCACCAGGTGGTTGCCAGTCGGTCATGATCTGTGTTCTGACGCCCCGTTTTTTCACCGCCGCTCGGCTGATCTGTGCCACTGGTTTGCCAGAGCGCGGCCGACCTGCGGATGACACACCGTTCGGAGCTGGCGGCGCTGGAGTCGGCGCAGCGGCTGCGGCTCGCCGAGCTGGACCAGCAGCTGGCTGGCCAGCGGCTGCGCACCACGGCGCTGCTGGAGGAGCGCGAGGCCGAGCTGAGCGCGCTGCGCGAGGCGCAGGCCGGCGCGCCGCCCGACCCCGGCGCCGTGTCCGCCTCGCTCTCCCAGCTGGGCTTCAGCAGACACGAGGGCCAGATGCTGCACTACATGCAGGTGGGCGCGTCTGGGAAACCAGAGGTACGGGGCTCGATTCCCCGCGGTACCCGCCCTTCTTGCCAGGGTGAGAGGCAGGCGGCGCCATATAGCCTCAGCAGCTGAGTGCGTCGTAAAGCCGCAATGGCACACACACACACACACATGCAGGTGGGCGTGGTGCGGCCTGATGCGGCGGCGTGGTGCGCGGCCGCGCTGGTTGCGCTGGTGGCGGTCATGTTTGAACCGCGGCGGGCCCGAGTCCGGGGCTTGATGTCGACCCTGCTGACGTCTATGGATATGGAAGACGTCTCCGCCGTACGTTAGGGTGACCATGTGGCAGTTTATTGCCATAACGCATTGGCTGCGGCGGGAAACGGTTTCGAACATTGGCTTGTATGAGCCGTGTTCCGGGAACATGGCCGTGGTCGTGGGCGGGTAAGGTGAACTGTTATTACAGACAGGGTGGATAGGTTAACCAATGGCTGGCTCATCTCCTGTCATGCTGGCGCCACTCAGTGGGTTGGCGCCAGAGCCTGGGCTAGGGGCTCACAACATGGTCTGAGCCGGATCCTTTGCGACTCGCGTGGACCGCGGGCATCGCGTGGTGCCGCATATACCCCTTGACCACTAGATCATGCGGTCAGCTGTGATATGCCTCAATGTAACTGTCGGTAACGCTAGCGATTCAGCAGTATTTTGCTTACTGTTGCCTCAGGAGGTGGCGCGGAAGGACAAGGAGATCAGTAACCTGCGGCGGTCCAAGCATCAACTGGAGTCAACCATGCGGCAGCTGCAGAACAAGATGCTGGAACGGGAGGAGCATCTGCAGGACGAGGCCGAAGTGTTGCGTGACAAGATCCGCCGGTGAGATGGAAATCCGTGACCAGATCTGGTGACGAGATGGAGATCTGGGACTTCATACCGCGATAAGATGTTGATCCTTGATGATCCGATGAGGATGTGGAGATCCATAATCGGCCCTACAGGTGACATGGGTGTGCGGGGCCAGATCTGATGATGAGATGGAGATCCTTTGTCGGTCCCGCTAATGGGATGGGGATGCGGGACCAGATCCGATGGTATAGGCGCTGCATGACCTACAGCAGTCGATGCGCCCTAAAACCCCAAATCATCATCATCATCATCATCATCCGATGGTGAGATGGAGATCTGTAGTCGGTTCCGCTGGTGAGATGGGTTACGGAACCAGATCCGGTGGTGAGATGGAGGTCCGTGGCTGGAACAGCTGGTGAGAAAGAGATCCTTGGTGGGTCCCGCTAGTGATATGGGGATGCTGGACTAGGTCAGATGATGACGTATAGATCCACTGGAAAGTAAGGCAATGATGCGAATGGAATGTTACACGAGTTGGCTTACACATCTGTGAGCAAGCTGAACACGTGCGTCGCAAGTCTATCATCACCAGTTTTGGAAGACATCAGGCCGTGTCCGACTTAAAGGTGTGGCCAGAATTCTGTTTTGATCGCCGCTGGGAGGGGGGGGGGGGGGACCGCGAAATACGTGAAAGGTGTTGATTGTTTTCATGTGTCACGTGGCATGGGTCTGGTGAAGGCATTTTTGTGTTGGCTGATGTCTGGTAATTATTGTACATGCGAATGTAAACAAGAACGTGGGTTCACAGTATTGTTTACATTTACATTTATGGTGCAGTCGACAATGAAATGAATGAAGGGTCGGTCGTTTGCTCATATCACATAATTCCTTTTCTTCTCGTTTTGAATGTTTTGTCGCGGATTTTATCAAAATATCAAAAGATTTGTGTGCGGACTTGCACCACGTATGGGTCTGATTCGTTTTGGGTGAGGCTTAAAGCCTGATTACGAGTGAGACAGGCATAGAGATGTGTAAAGCATGCATGCCTGACAATACTTTGTCAATAACAACGCTGATGTCAGCTTAATTTTTTACATATTATCATATGTCACCTTACATTTGAACTTGATTTGTGTGATCCAAGCGTGTTTCGAATCGATGTCGAGGATTTATATAAATAATCCTTCACAACAAAAACAAAAAGCATATAGGCATAGTGTATCAGTGTGCTGTTTGCGTACGGGCGAGAAACGTGTATTATACACTGTGCGCTGATATGTATAGCGATGAAGACCAGTGGTGGCGAGTAATCTACTGTCGGCTCCTTCGAACCAGGCCGACATCAGGTGTGTCCACTTACACCATCTGCGGGCGCACGTGTCAGACCGGTAACGAGGGACGATTGCGGCCGACCCGCCGACCGCATGCCTCGCAAGTGTGACCAGCCCATTACCCGGGGGTATAAAGTCGGCCCGCGGCGGTGCGGGGTGGCATTCTGACCGCTCCCGGTGGGCCAGCGACAGCCGACCGCGCCTGAGCCATGAAGCTGTTTGTGGCCGCTTGTCTGGTGGCGCTGGCCGCGGCCGTGCCGCTCGACTCCCGCGTCGAGGACCAGGACGAGCTGGAGATGCACGAGATGTGGGCGCCCACCTACCAGGAGGTGCAGGAGAAGGCCGGTCTGGGCGCCGACCGCGCCACCACGCTCTCCCGCTCCGGACAGGTGCTGGACCAGACCTTCTGGAAGGACATCGCCCAGGACATCCTGCGCACCAAGCTGGCCGACCCCGTGTACGATTACCAGGCTAAGAATGCCGTGCTCTTCATCGGCGACGGCATGTCGATCCCGACGCTGGCCGCCGCCAGGAAGCGCAAGGGTCTGCAGCACGGCGCCGACGTGCCCGAGCACACCATGCTCTCCTGGGAGACCTTCCCCTACCTGGGCCTGTCCAAGACCTACAACTGCGACCGCTGGACGGCCGACTCGGCTTCCACCGCCACTGCCTACCTGACCGGCGCCAAGGGTAACTTCCTCACGGTCGGCGTGGACTGTTCCGTGCTCATCTGGAACTGCGACGCCGTCAACGAGGCGTCCTCGCCCAAGTCGATCCTCCGCTACGGAGTTGAGGCCGGTAAGTGGGTCGGCCTGGTGTCCACCGCCCGTATCACGCACGCCTCTCCCGCCGCCACCTTCGGCCACACCGCCTACCGTACCTGGGAGTCGGACGCCGACTTCGCCGCCATGGAGTGGATGACCGGTCCCGTCAAGGACTCGTGCAAGAACGTCATGAAGGACCTGTCCACCCAGTTCGTTGAGCGTGAGGGCATCGACATCAACGTTGCCTTCGGCGGCGGCTGGGGCAAGTTCACGCCCAAGGAGGTCGAGGGCGGCTCCCGCCTGGACGGCCGCGACCTGATCCAGGAGTGGAAGGACAAGCAGGAGTCCCTGGGGCGCAGCCACGCCTACATCAGCACCAAGGCCGAGCTGAACAGCTTCGACGCCTCCTCTGCCGACTACGTTCTGGGTCTGTTCAGCCGCAGCCACATGCAGTACCGCGCCTTCCAAACCGCTGACGATGTCAACCTGACCGAGATGGTGAAGAAGGCTCTGGAGATCCTGAAGCGCGGACCCAACGGCTTCGTCATGTTCGTGGAGGGCGCTAAGATCGATCACGGCCACCACTACGGCAACGCCTACACGGCCATCGACGAGACTGTGGAGCTGGAGGAGGTCGTCCAGTACGTCATGGACAACACCGACGAGACGGACACCCTGATCGTCGTCTCTTCCGACCACTCCCACACCTTCTCCATCAACGGCTACCCGGAGCGCGGCCTGGACATGTTCGGCCCGGCCTCCTTCCTGGCCGGCGGCATGCAGAAGGGCGGCCCGCCGCCCAAGCTGCCCTACCCGATCATGCAGTACGCCAACGGTCCGGGTGGCTCCGAGGACTGGTCCGAGTTCGAGGCCAAGCGGGCTCGCCTCGCTGACATGTCGCCGGAGGCCGAGTGGCGCGACCCGCACTACAAGCAGGTGGCCGGCATCTATCTGCCGAAGGAGACGCACGGCGGTGAGGACGTGGGCATCTTCGCGCGCGGCCCCGGCGCCCACCTGCTGCGTGGCAGCCTGGAGGAGAACGTGATCCATCACGTTATCAACTACGCCCTCTGCCAGGGTGATTACGCCACCATCTGCGACAAGAAGTAGGCACACTTCTCGCCGCCATCACCAAGACTTGTCCAGCGTGTTCGGCAATACTCCTGTGTTTCACCCTATATTGGATCGTGTGATGTGCATGTCCACGTGCAATTTAAATAAACCTGCTAGTCAACTCGCTTTCGTGTGAGTTTTTTTTTGCGCATTTCGTAGCTAAACTGGACACCAATTTCCAAAATGTTTTCGTCAGATGAAATACTTGTCCGGGATTGGGAATCTGTATTTGGAGAGTGAAATGGCTTGGAAAGATCACGCGCCAACACTTTTCATCGACCGCGGACCGCATTAACCTGTATATTATGGCTTCATTTGTATTTCATCATTACATATATGATCATCACATAAGACCGGATGAGAAATCCAAACAACGTTGCTGTGATTGCTTTGGGTGTAAAGCATAACCACGTTTAGAGATTGTCGGATCGGGTTTAAGATTTTATTAACAGAAACTGATTGCGGTGAGTCGATCAGCCGGGTGTTGATTGTCGACAAAAATGTAATGATTTTCCCTCATGTTTCATTTGTATGTTCTCTGTTAACTTGGGAAGAAAGTTTGGTGCATTGATGCTTGATTTCATGACTTCCTTTGCTTGCTGAATTGGACCAATTGTCTTCGATTTGGGAACAAAATTAAATGTGGGCGGATGTCGTGGGAAGACGGTAGATATGATTTGACTGGATCCCCAAAATAGCGACTTTTACGATGCCCAATTCCAAGTTGTGTTTGTAATCCTTTGCTAATGACATTGTAGTACGTTATCGTTACTTTTTCACAGGACAATGCAAATCGTTCACCTGCTCACCCAATGCATCATTGTGTAAAGCCGAAGAATACGTGTTGGGACTTACTGACAGGACGCAAAACATGCGACGCTTCTTTCTTCCGGGCTCGTGGTGCCCTTCCCTTCGGTGCTGCCGGCGTTCAGTTCAGAAAAGCTACGCTGCTCGTGCGCATTGGACGCAAAGAAAGCATTCCGGGTGGAATACGAAGCGCTAACTATCCGCGCCTGACGTCACCGCCAGCCTCGGCTGTTTGATCACCTGCCGCAGTGACTTCTGCCGATGCCACGCCTGGGGTGCCGGGACACGTTCACAAATTACGTGTGCAGCGGCGCGCACCTGCCGGCCTTTGCATCGTTGACCTTGGCATTCCAGCGGAGCATCCTTGCATCCCTGCCGGCCCCGCCGTCATCGGGTGTTCCTGCCAACAGGCTGGAGCTGAACTCGTCGCGGGAAGGCGCCAACCTCGAGTACATCAAGAACGTGGTGGTGCGGTACCTGCTGTCGACGGACGCCGCGCAAAAGGCGCACATCCTCAACGCCATCTCGACGGCGCTGCAGTTCTCCTCGGACGAGCTGCGCCGTGTCAGGCACTGCCAAACCGCCACCTGGTGGCCGGCCTCGTCACAGCGATGACGTCGCCGTCTGGCTAGCCGGCGTCGTGCGCACGCCCAGTGGCCGGCGTTGTCAGAGTGGTGACGTCATGGTGACGTCAGACGGATCCGCGTGCACCCGCTGCGATATGATGTGAAGGTAATAACGATTTGTTCCAGTTTTGTTTTGCTCGGTCTGTAATGCGTAGCCCAAGCTGGTCTTCATCCCATGCCGTACCGAACATGGGATGAAATATACAACGGTTCTTCATTAACAACTGATTAGAGACTTCCTTTACCATCAAACATTTAATTCATTTCATTCCAAAAAAAGCTCACCGCCGGGCTGAACAAGCAGCTGTCAAGCCGCCACTGTGACCAAGTAGTTCACAGTCGCGGCAGGCGAAGCGAGACACATTTATTTTTATGCAGGTGTGATATTCAGCTGTTTGTTTCCTGTAATACCTGGCCTACCGTGCGTTTGAGGTGTGCACATTAGGGGTACTGCCAAGAGCTGCGCGCGGAGTGCGGGGTTTTCCGTCGCACTGTTTGCTTCCACCCATATCAAGCGGACGTTTTGCAAGTCTGTGAGTGCAGTGCATGTTGGGCACTTGATCGCACTGGTCACCATTCTTCCAGTCATTGTTTAGAGCGCGGTACCGTTGCTCTGACGTTGGGCGGGAACGATGCTTCAGGTAGTGTGGCGGCCTTGTGCGAAGTGGTTTTCGTGAGTATGTTGATAAAGTGCATGTAACGAGTTGTTTGGCTATAAGCTGTGATATGCTGGTGTGTGTGTGTGTGTGTGTGTGTGCGCGCGTACGAGCGTGCGTGCGTGTGTGTTGTAGCACGTTACTGAAGTGAAGGAACAAATATATCTGATGATGGGACCGCTTTGTCCTGCGTGGCAGCCCTTCAGCCTGCTCTGCCAACCGTCTTACGTCGGCCACGCCAGCTCACTTCAACCAACTTGTAAACTAGCAATTGCTTAAGGTCGTGAAGTACAATCCGGTAGTGTACAACATTCTGTCCGGTAAGCATAGTGATCATTTGACAATAGAAAGCATATCCTTTCTAAAAACCTTTTTGTGAGACAGTAGAATTAACACATTTAGACACGGGGTGCCATAAACAACTGCAATACGGTTTTTATATCGCAACTGTACGAAATCATTGCGTCGTCAAACAGTAAAAAACAGCTTGACGAAACCAATATGGTTTTGTATCCCTGCTGATCACCTGCATCTACAGTACTGGGCCAGTCCGAGCTGAGGATTCGGATTCGCAAGATATAAATACATTCAAACCTCGGGAATCATCGGATCCTGAAAACGAGGACTCCAATCCTTTAAATCGGGATTCAGATTATAAAATCACTAATCGAAGTCTTGACAGTTGCCGGTTGAATATCCTAGTACATTCACTGCACTATCTCAGTCCGCACCCTGCCGGCGGTCTGGGACAACCGTGGCCGGGGGCGAGGGGGGAGGGGGTTGATCTCCCGTGGGATCTCTAACTTCCAGATGCCGTGTAAGAAAAGGAAAGATGCGACTTCGAAGTTCTCGTCAGTTAATGACGAAAACACCAGTTCGTTTACCCCAGGCCAGATGTGAGATTATCAAAGGCCACAAAATGTCGAAAATGGTATTTCCGGTGGATGTAGTTAAACCTATCTTAAAACATCAAAACAGACATTGAGGACACGGGGAAAACGTTTAGACTGTGGGGAGTCCATTCCGACCAGTTCTACTCCCCCATACGGACCAGGTCAGATCAGGTCACAGCCCAAAATTAGTCTACCAGTAACCTACAAGAACGATACTTTTCTTCACGATGTGCTTCGGACAAAGTTTATTCTATTAAATGTGGCTGCGGAACAAAACTATTCCAAACATAAAACTACCATTTTAGGGTGGCACAGCTTATCTTAGGTCAAGCTGGGTCGAATTCATAAGCCATTCAAGCGAAAAAAAATAAGGCGCTGACCGGGTCCATGTGACCAGTACAATGTTTTTCTGGGGGTCAGAAACAGTGTATTGTACATCTACGGATTCTCAAGGTCGCCTAGTTGTCGTCTTCATGTCTACATGTTGTTATACATAGCTCCTTCAATGTTTGGCGATGCATTTGTAACAGCCTGATAACAGGTACGTCGGTACGCGAAATTAGACGCCATCAGCTCCACAAACACAACAAGAAGGTAGTTTCACGCGTCGCACTGGTTTATCTTGCCCCTCCACTACTGACAACATAGGTCATTGTCATTGGAAAACGTAAGATGACATTGCATGTCCTCACATAACCTGCTGTGACCTCATTATGCCTCAGAATGACACCACATGTTTTCAGTTGAGCATTCGATTTCGGCATCCAAAATTACCCAAAAAATCAGCCTGCTTTGAGCTCAGCATGCGTTTTGCAAAAGCTACAAATAGAGATAAATCATGACCTGGGCCAAAGTCATCTCCTCCGTGGTCATACGATAGTTGTGCATGTACGTTATTACCCTGTTCATCGCATTTAAACACCAAAACTACACAAGAGACTGCAAATTTGCATAATTTACAAAAATGCCAAAAAATTACCTTGCTTCAGGTCACGGACCTTACCTTTTCTAAAATGTTAGAAATATACAAATTTTAGGTACCATTGCTTTCTATCGGTATAAAAAATTCGAACAATGGGAAATAACTCGCAAACAAGTTGTGTTCAAAGTCTTTTATAAGTTGGCTTCTTTTGACCTGACCCAGATAACTGATCTTCGCAGATACAAACTTCAAATCCCGACAAAGGATGCTAATTTAACAGATGAACAGATAAGAGAGTTTCGCTGCGCTGCGTACGCCCGTTTTTTTTTTACCTGTGCTCGAAAAACTATTGGGGAGATGTCAACTGGGTGCGGGTTATAGGGAGTGTTCCACATTTCCTGTGGGGTTTCTAACCGAAATAGCCTCTTGAAGACGTTTTGGTGCTGCTCATAATCCTGCTCCTCTTAATACCTAAGCCCCTATAGTTCCTGAGCTATACGCCCGCGGAAATGGGGAAAGATATATCGGGGTGAGTATTTAAAAGTCACCTTGGCATTCACAACGATATTGTGACGTCATTCAAATCTTGCCATTCCATAAGCCATGCGGCGATCAAGGCGAACAGAGATAACTGTCGAGGCGTTCATATCTAGCGTACGTGAGCGTGATTCCCAGATAACGGCCGTCAGGCTGCAAGGAAGTTTCCCGCAGCGGCCTCTCGCTGGGCACCGCGTCATGGTACATACAAGTAAACACTGAAACACGCTGCTTATGAAAAACGACGTAAAATACTATGGAATTCGTGTAAAGTATAATGCACACGAGAAGCGAACAGATCAAAGCAAAAAGCGTTGCCGAAAAGTCGATGAAGACGCCCTTGTTTCCTGGTAACAATTAGGATTTGTTGGAAATTTGTGGTGCCTCTAGAATTTGACGTCACATTAAAAGAACGTTTTGGGACTGTCACGTGATGCTTCATGTTAAGTGTACATCACCCACAATTTGGTAGCCAGTTCCCCACGTCGCTTTTGTTCCTTGGCGCAATTCCGTTGGACTCCGTTGCGCAGCTCAAAATACAGACGCCACGTATGAAATGTTGTGTGTGTGATCCAGAACTGAGAAGGTTTGAATCAACTAATAACAAGACGGGGACCTCTTGTGGTACCACCCCACAATTGACTGCTTCTTAAAAGTGCAGGTTGTGGTGCATGAAATGATGGTTTTGGGCGTTTCTTTGCCAAATGGGCCAAGCTAACATTTCGGCAGAGAAGAAGGCACAAAAGTTGTGTTGCTTCTGACTTCGGTGGCTCTTTAAAACAAAGATGTTGTCATCCTTCAAATGACCCGTTTGAACTCGGTACTTCTCTAAAGTAAATGTTATGGTGCCCAGAATGAGACTTTTGGTAACCCATCGCCGCGTGGGTTGATTCATGATTTCGTCAATGGGATGGGGAAGCACGTACATTGTGGTGTCCCCTGGACTTTGCTGTCATTGAAAATTAACGTTTTGGGGCCGTTTGCGATACCCCTGGAATCGGACGCCGATTAAAATAAGGTCACGATGCTGCGCGAGAAGATGATTTGGTACTTCTTCACCGCTGAATGAGCCAGTATTTCTCCAGTGAGGTGGCACAGGCAGTGCAAATTCCCTTGCGATTTGTTGTCTCTTAAAGATCCAGCAAGGACCAAGATTCAGCCTGTAGTTATGTCGAAAGATCCAACGAGAACCGATATCCAGTGTAACATGATGTCAATAGAACCAGCAAGAACTAAGACATAGCTCAGGATTAAGCTGAGATCCAGCGAGAACCAAGCTCTAGTCTGAAGTGCTGCCAATGTAAGCAGCAATAGCCAGAGTCATACCCGAGGATCCTATCAACCCTGATTTTCCAGGTTTATTTAAGTGTTACTCAGAAAAGTTTAGTTTAGTTAAGTGTTACTCAGTACAATCTTTTAAAACAGTTCGAGAGGCTGACCTGACGTGGGGTCATTTGGCTGCAGCCTTAAGTTAGCCATGGGACGGGCACCACGCAGCCTACCGGGGCTGCAACACCGGACGTCAATGTTTTTTTTTTCTCTATGACGTGGGAGCGTGCATCTTAAATGCTGTGTTGCACAATTGTTTCATATGTTGGAAAATATCAATAAGCTAGGGCATCGTAACTGCTAAAAAGATAATATTCAAACCAGCACCCTCTGGACACAGGTCATTGCATCCCGTGGGAGGAGGGGAAATTTTAGATTATGAGACAAACTGGAGAAAAAGAAAGTTTAAGGAGGATATTCCCATCGCTAGAACGCACAGCGACGCACTTCTGGATACAAAACTAGGGGTACCAATAGCGAGTGTAAGTCGAATTTCGAAATGGGAAGGCTGCCCTCACGGAGACGTCTGTAATATGGGATACGATAGCGGGCTTCGGGTTAAGACATTTGAACGCGTCTGCGTTATTTTGTTTTATAATTGAGATATGCCGTATGCGTCACCATTAAATTGATTCTGAAATGCGGAGAAACTATGTACATGTTTAAGAAATATGCGCGATGTCAGTTGTCATGGGAAATGGTCACATTCAGAAGAAATGCACTGTAATCGTATCAGAGCCTTAAGTGTATTGGATGTGTTCTTTGTCAACGGTTTGCATTATTTATCTGCGGCGAAGATAAAAACAGTCTACTTTCGTTGCCTTAGAGGGATAAGCATGCTAGATTACATGTGGCTTTTTAGTTTGTTCTTAATACGTGCCTAATTCTGTTTTCATGCATATACTCTGACCAAGCCTGAAGAGGGGGCAGGGATTATCCAGAAAGCTCCCGTCGAATGCAAGCAAGCTGGTTGGAATATTATCTTTTTTGCATTTACGCTATTTGTTTTTGCCAATCGAATCTGCACGAAAACTAAACCTTCCTAAACAAGCATACGCTGGCCATGCTAATACAAATCCATGACTCAGTTCGAGCTACACTTCACGTTCATGGAGTCCTCAACATCTCTGTAGAACCCATACAAATTCTGGTTGGGCCTCTGAGCCCTGTCGGTTTAGAAAACAGTTTGGTGAACTATTGTAAAACGAACAGCGGCGGTGGCTTATCCCACGCAGCAATTTAACACCGCTTTCTTCAGCTTATTTGTTTGGAAGTACAAGGATAAATGAATCTTGCGATAGCTCTTGGGACATACTCCAGTTACAGGCCGTAAAAACAAATATGAAACGAAGAAACTCTTGCCCCTTGAAATCAAATAGGCCTTGTCCGGTGCCTTCGTGTTGTTACAACTGGGAATCTGCTTCGAGGACATATTTCAAGCATTATAGGGGCGCAAAATACGTCCCAGTCTGATCCGTGAACGCTGCAAATTGGTTTAGCAAGCGTTCCGGAAGCATCTTCCATGACCGTCCTTATTTCGTGCGCCCGACGCCCGCCTGGTCTAATCTGCTGCTGCTCACGTCCTTCGGTCTTATTTAAATTTCAACGCGGGCCAAGGCTGCTCTTGCTCCAAAGACTGCAAGCGTGCATGTTAAAAGCTTACCATGTTATTGGTTTTGCGGGCTGCTATGTCGTGTGCCGCCCGCCTCCGCGCCTGATAGGGCGGCTCGTGGTGGGTTACGCCAATTGGCCAGGCGGAGGTCACGTGGGCATAACCTGCGGCGCCAGGCCAACGATGACGCCGGGCGGGCGCGGTGCGAGCGACAAAGGGTCCGGACTTTTTTCTTTGGATTCTGGATTTGAAGATAAAAGAGCAAGTGTGGGACATGATGAAACAGGATCACTTCTTACTATTGGCACACTTAAGTAGAAAAGAATGTTCTAGACAGCACAATTATCTGTTTAGCAAATATGTTCCCCAGTGTGCCATGGTTTGATTACGTCATCGTACCTTGCACAACATTGATTGGGAGCCATTTGGCGCCCGCTATATCTGGAAATCGCGCTCACGAAAGCCAGATATGAAACACCTCGACATTTATATATTTTTATATTGATCGCCGCATGGCTTATGGAATGGCAAGACTTGAATGAGGTTATTTTGGCGTTATGGATGTCAAGGTGACCCTGAAATAGTCTCCCCGAAAAAGTCTGCACATTTTCGCGGACGTGTGGCGCAGGATCTAGAAGAGTTTGTATCTCAAGAAGGGCAGAAATGCGAACTGAACTACTTGATCTTCAAAATAGCTATTTCTATTCAAAACCACACATGGGCCTGTGTAATTGAAGCCTCCTGTCGATCCACTCTGTTGAGCACTAATGACACCCCTTACCTTTCTCAGGAAGTGTTCGCTACTCACGCGCATGCTCGTGCCAAGTCATGAGCCTCAAACAAGTTTATTTTTCACGCATAACATTGTGATCACCCTGCACACCGCGCGTATGAAAGCGAAGCGCTTAGACAGGATCATGTTGCCTGCTGCTAAAGCACGCATGTAGAGCTACGGTTGCTATCTGTTACATGCGCACGACGTGGGTACATGCTGCCAGGGGTACTACATGACACTACTGCCTCTGCACATTTTCAAACAGCTCTTCGCTCACGACACACCGGCCGGCGACATTAAAGACGCGCCTTCGTCACATCACATGACTAACGCTCCGCCAGCTGCGGCTATTCCTGCCTGGGTCCGGCCGCCCCGCTGCTGAAACCTGCGCTGGTCAGAGCGGGCTCGCCGGCACGCCAACTCAGTCCTGATGCTTCAGCTCCGTCTGGAAGCTGAGGTCAGTGCCCTGCAGGCGTTCCTGGATCCAGACGTCCATCCGCGCGTTCATCTCCGGCGTGAAGTAGTTCTTCCAGTCGCCCGTCTTACCTGGAAGAAAGACAGTGGTCGTTTTGTGATCAGGAAGCCCATGGGCTCTGCGTAACTGGGTGTCAGCATGAGACGTGAAGGAGGGGGATCTGTATGAGCACGCCAGGTACTGGTTCAATCTAGCCGCGGGTGTAATCCACGCGGCAACACACATACGTAAAGCCTATAAAAACAACAGAACAAAACATAGAGGAGAAAAAAAATTACCTGAAACTTACGTGGGTTCGGTTATTTGGCCATTTAGATTAGAGCCCTTTCGAGCAGGAATGATCATTTCAGGGCCATTGGATGAAGGAGAATGCATAATAGTGCGCAGGACTGCATGCGCCAGGTGGCCAACCGCCGAGCCTTAGCCAGCGCAAGGACCTGTCTGCGGAGTGGGTGCTGGGCGCCCAGTCGGGGCCGCCCTCCCGGGGGCCTCTGGGCCCGCTCGTGGCTGACGCATGCAGCCTGCCCCGTACAAGCCGGGCGTCACAAAAGTGGATGATGAAGCAGGAAAGAGGATGAGAGGGTCGGATGGAAACTTCGGTGGAGTTATCACCGGTGTAGTTAGCTGCATACCCGTGAGGTGCGTGACGCACATTTTGTGCACGATCATTTTATATTCCGTCATTTTGGAAACCGACTTACATGAAGAAGCATACGGTTGCGCATCGTTACAAAGGAACCAATGCGCACGACAGCTCCATTCTTCATCGATTTTTGCGGTCACCTACCTTTCCGGACGAAGCTCTCCTGTTCTGACAGCATTCCAACTTCCTTGAACATATCGAAGTTAACGTAAGGATTTTTCTTGAAATTGTCAAACTTCAAGTGCTCGCACAGCATCTCCATCTGGTCCGCCGACAGTTTTTTCCCCAGGAAGTCACTCACTCGCCTAATGACACCTTTCAGGTCGACCTTCATCTCCTCAAAGAAGATGAAGAGAAGGTTGGGATGCCCCCTCTTCTTCCAGGCCTCTCTTACGTGCGGCATGAAGGGCGCCTGTATGACCTTGTCTTCCAAGAATAGGTCAAAGAACTCCGCAAACGACCCTTCGAAGTCTAGCATCTTAATGAGTTTGTGATGATGATAGTACGACACAAGCGCATCCTTGGGGTTCCGCGCCACGTACACCACCTTACACGTGTCTAGGAGCTTCGGGGGCAGCATCGAGAACGGCATGTGGCTCTTGATGAACCGGGGAGGCGCATACGAGCGTGGCCACGCCATCATCATTCCTAGCCACAGAAGACGAAAGGCCTTCAAAGGATTGGCTTTCAGTCCCTCCCAGAGCATACTCTTCGCCCGGTTGTCCGATCCCAGAACGCGGTACGACATCTCCAAGAAATTCCAACGGTCCGGCATCAGGTTGCACTGGGCGCCCTTGAAGTCGCAGTCGTTGGCGATGAGCCAGACCATCTCCTGCGTCCACGTAGTGCCGCACTTGGGCATGGTCACCACCCAGATGTCTCGCGGGTCCACGGGGTAGTTGTACATGCTATGGAACGGCTTCTCCGGCAGCTTGGGGTAGAAGTAGCGATCCTCTCCGACCGTCATCGCGCCATCCTGCAGTCCGGGCACCAGCCGCTTCACGCGGGCGTTGGTTTCGTCGTCGACGTCTTCGAACCGGTGCGGGTACGGTAGTGAAGTCATGGTGTTCCGTCTGCAGGACAGCAATCAAGTTAGTGTGCTCGCGGCCGGGTAGTGGGACACTAATGACATTTGAATGGTGGCAGGCGTTGAATCGAGTGAAATCATGACATGAACGCTATGGGGTCAACCAGGAGCTCACGGTGGATGGTATGCGTTGGTGACCAAGCACCCGGACCGACACGTTCCTGGTTTCTAATGCTAGGTTTTGGTTCCCATCGGCTTATTTGTGAAATAGAGGAGTTTTTTTAGAGAGGAGAGGAGAGGACATTCCATGATTTCTAGCTTACATTCTTTATTTTACACACAACAAATCCTGTTCCTGGCTCCCGTCTTCTATTTCGCAAAACATCCGGATTCTTGTTTCCCATTGATTCGTCGCAACTGTTGAATCCTGGTGCCTGGTCAAGGCTGGTTCACTCACAGAACATGACATTCGCGTTTTTGGTCCGCGTTGACTTGTTCACAGGGATATGAGTGAATTTCTATGCATTAGTTTAGCATGCATCTCACCTCATTCCGAAAAAGATAAATCTTAAGTTAATTTCGCAAAGGATCCTGCACTAGTTTTGTTACGGACGTTTTGCTATTTCTTTTCTCGCTCTTCACGCGCTCCACGCTGCCTACGCTGCGCAAAAAGCTTCTCATGCCTGGCTATGCCGTGTTAAACGTAGCGCCCCCCAAAAAGTCGAGTTTATTTGACCCATAACTAAGCTACAGGTGCGAAACAAAGATGGGCAGGTTGTTCGTCATGGGCAGAGATCTAGGGTATCCGGCTTTCGTAAATTAACAAAATTAATACATAATAAATTATTACAAAATTAACATAATTTAACATCATTAACATTAAAACGTTAAGGGTGATTTGCACCCACATCCCAGGGTGGCGTAGCGCTGTACATTTACTTCATCTCTCGCTTTCTCTGGTTATATTTTACTATAAAATCCAGCTCTATCAAAAACCATCTGTCTCCATGCATGACAAAATGTGTGGACGAACCCAAATGCATGTTTGTGCTTTTGCACATTCAGGCAAGGTTTGTGGTATTCAGTTTTTCATTACAGTCAAAATCTTTTCAGGACAAGGGAAAACGTTTGGAGCAGCCCATGATGACAATGGAAGAAATTTAAACCTGCTGGCCTGATAGTGATAAACATTGGTCAAATGTTGATACAATGCACACGTGCACATGAATACTGTTTTGCATTTGGTTTTGAATTGGTTCCATCTATCATAAGAAGTGACGGCCAAGTACTGGGTTGAAAGAGAAATATCCCTGGTTGTATGCGCATCTCGCTTCGTAATGCCACACAGGCTTGATTTTATCTTTGTTCCGTTCGAGGGCAGGTGGACTGGAATTTAAGTTGTTGCGTCCAACATGGACTTGGCACTATGGTGCTGCTCACCACGGAGCAAAATGCAACATATATCAATGTATTGCGGTCAACGAAACCCGGTATGACCAAGCCATGGCAGTTCGAGCTTGCTTTGAAATCCGCTGCTCTCCTTAAAAAAAAAACAATATTGCGCCCGCGGGAGAAACTTCTGACGGATGGATTTAAACTAAACGAAAAAAAATACTGGACAAGGCTGGTGGCTGTGGTAAAGAACACATGTGCATCCCGAACGTAAGGTCTGTCACCATTAAGGTCCCGTCAAAATCCATCGAAAAGACTATTCAGGAGGTTGATGTTAGTCACATAACCTTCTGGCTGGTCCTAAGAAATTATCTCAAGCTGTGTCCCTGCGACATGACTGTTCTCCAGTAGCTGCCAGCGGCAGACAGACGAGAGAAGATGACATTTGCCAGCCGGCTGGAGACGAAGGCTGGGGCCGATCCTGGACTTAAACCGTATCTAGTTTATCGGCAAGACCCACGTCCACCTGCACTGGGTAGCAAACGTCCAATCTGCCGGCTTTGTGCCTCTCAGCCGCCAGAGCCCGTGCTTGAGAGGTCGCGCATAGTCCAAAGGTGACGGCGTGGTGCACCATGAGGTCCAGCGACTTATTGGGTCCTTCTCCTCCAAGGTGCAGATCGCCGAGCGGCCGCGGCCACCAGGGAACGGCACGCTAGCATGCTGGAGGGTCTCTGGATGCGGCTGGAGCAAGGCCCCGAGGTCAAATAGAGAGCGTCTTGGCAGGGTTTGGCAACAAGGGGGGGGGGGCAGGGTCGACAAAGGGCTCGTTAATGGTGAGAGAGACCCACAAAAAGCACTAGATTTGGCCCCCTTGATTTCGAGGTGGCACAAAATTCCTCGTTTTACTTTTGCTCTCAACTTCTTCAATTCGAACAAAAGCTAGAACAGCTACCGAAAGGTCCAATTCTCTTTGTATTTTGAAGTCAATAAACTGAAGGAATGGCCACTAAGTGACTGCATGGAATCAAGAGCCAGTGCTTTTCATTTTGCAATGGTTAAGTGAATCCTTTCTCAACAGATAAAACATGGAGGCTTTGTCAAAATTTGCTGGGTTCTACGGATAATTTGAAGCCCATAAACGTTGACTGTAGATTGACATAGAATAAAACATTCATATAAACATGTGCAAAGCCAACCTATGCCCGCTTGGGAATGTTCAACGTTCAGTCGGAGCCTACTGATGACAAAATTATGTCACGTAGTCTTGAGTGTCCGCGCTCGCAAGTCTTAGAAATAAAAATCCCGGCGTCGCAGTTTCCTTAGGCCGCACGGTGTCGGCCCCGCGGCTAACACCAGTCGGCGGCCAATGGGCGGACGGAAATATTGAATAACTGAATGAAGTGCCTTTGTACGCCTTAGTAGATCAATTAGTCGCTTGTAATGCAGTCCTAGGAGATCTTTACCTAATGCCATTTGTACATTGATGATAGCAGCGGATTTGCACTTACATGCAATGCGAACTGGTGCTGGAGGTGTATGGTTGGACTGGAAGAGTAAAGGTTGAATCCATATTTTTCCGACTGTTGTGTTAAGTCACCCTCGAAATTTCACCATTCCCAATCGAACCACCCGTCAATCGAAAGGTCTAAAACGCACCGAGTCCAATCTCTGAAGGCACGAATTTGTTTTGAAAGACTTTGGTAAGCGTTATGTCACACCAGTCGTCTTGTGCGCTCGGCGCCCGCCGCCTGATGTTGTCTGCAGCGGCCAGCATCGCTACGCTTTACGGAAACTATAGCCCTGGCCATGGCTGTTCTTGCTCTTAAGGCTGCTAGCGCGTGGGATCAACACTTTTTGCATACTTCGTTTCACTAGCCGCTTCTAAAAAAATGACGATGTTCTCAGGCAAGCATCGGATGGCCTTCTTGACTTTGACCTCATTTGATCCGCTCTATTGTACACTAATAAGACCCCGTACCCTTTTCAGACCCATGGTCTCGTGGGTAGAATAGCAGGAGGCAAATTGTCGTTCCCGACCAAGGATTCAGGGGCCATTCCATCCTAGCGCAGCGTGCCTGCCGGCTGTCATTCTGGCAGCACGGGAGCGAGGTCCCCCGGTCGATCCGGAGACCCTTAGAGGGAAACATCATACGTTGACTTCTTCCCCGGTGCGAAAAGTCCTTTGACCCGGGCAGCTGCCCCCGGATCGATGCAGGAGCCCTCGTTGACGCAACACGATCCCTTATTGTTGCAGGTGGTTCTATAGTGATCTTTGGCCACAATATGGGCGCTCGTTGTCCCAGGGGTCTCCTACGGGTGTAAGAGGCCCACTGACCGACACTTGAGGTCCTATTGTATTTGATATTTGAGGACAGTTTGGTGTTGGTGGTCCCTGTTAGCTGACTGACATAGAGGCCCTCGATGTCCCATTGGGCTTTGGATCGGCGCTAGAGGCCATCTGCCCGATATTTTAAGGCCCGGCCTTCAGACTGGGCTGGGAGCCTCCAGCGAAGCTCCTGACCATCGGCCTCGAGGAACTCAAAGGACCCCTTAGAACATTTGCAGGCCCCAGCCTTGTCTTTGCTTGGGAAAGGAGAACCCACGGTCCAGGCCAGCATCTCGAAGTAGGCGTGTTTTCAAAATAAAGGCCATGATGCCCTGGAATGAATGTTTTTCCTATGACTTCCAGGGAAGGTAAGGAAGTTTGGGCGTTGCTGGAGTTCGGTGCCTCGTGAAAATGGGGGTTTTGAGATCCTTTAAAAGGACCGCTTTCGATAAAGACTCTCCTGAAAATACAGATTTTGGTGTTCCTACATGTAAGATGTGGTGCCACTTGCCGAATGGGCCGATTCAAGATCTCGTCAATGGAAGGCACGACCATTGCTGTGCTCCTGGAATATGCTATATTAAAAGTTTTGGCGGCGCTTTGCTTTGCTTTGCCAAGTACTTTTCGGTGCCCCCTGCGCTTGGGTGTCAAATAGAAATAAAATATAGTGTGCCCAAAAGAGAGTTTTTTAGCACTCCTGTGCCGAAGTGGCTGATCACAGACTTTTTTCATAATGGAAGGCAAATAATTTAAGGTGCCCATGGATCTTGATGCTCCTTGAAAACGAAGGCATTAGGACACTTCGAATAGATTTTACTTAGATTTGGTTGCTCTACAAAATAATGGTCATAGAGCACCGAAATGAAGATGTTGGTACTGGCTGGCCCAATGGGCCGATCCAGGATTTCGCCAGTGGTAAGGCATGGAAATTACAGGACAACCTGGAATACATTGCCTCTCAAAGGGAACGGTTGCTGGGCCCTTTGAAGCGCCCCCTGAAATTGACTGGCCCTTGATAACAAAGGTTACGCACACTTGTGTGCGGCTCAATTTTTTGGAGCCGGCTCAGACGTGGCTCACAAATTTTGGGATCCAACTCAGCTCATAACCCGTAGCCGTGCAAAAATTTTTGGATTAACCTGAGTCCAGACTCCTTGCTTACGTTGAATCATTTGGCTTATGACTCACGCGGCTTGCAAAATCTAAGATCCGACTCATCCATGGCCCACCACCCTATGACTCATTCATATATATACATGCATATCATACTATAAAAAATTGGTACACAAAGACTAGCAGCAAGCTTGCAGTTTGAACCCAGCAAATGCATTGCAGCAAACAATGCCTTTTCTGTAAACCGTCACCAACCAGCTCTCTCAAGTCTTGGCTCTTTGGCTAGCACATTACACCTGGCACCTGCGACCCAGACCCATTAGTTTTATAGCATGCAGTGCGGACTAGGCTGTACTTAATTAAATAGTTCGCAGTCTGCGGCTGCCAGATGCCAGGTGAGAACATTCACATGTACGTCACCATTTTTCCACCAGCCAGTGCAGGCCGTGCTTTGCAATGGCATGTCAGCAATTATCGTAGGATTTCAGGTGTTGCAATAGGGATTAGTTAGCTAGGATTTTATAGATAGCAGACAATCTTTCACTGGTTTTGGTAAATGATATATGAATGCAGGATGTCTGTACCACGCAGGATGTCTGTACCTCTTGTTCCTAGCTTGGATTTGACATGCTTAAATCAGGGTCAACAAAATTGTATTTTCTGTTGGTTCATTGCAATAATAAACTTGGTGCCAATTGCGTCAAAATATTTGTTACTAATGCTATATGCTATTCATTTTAACACTCTGAGATGGCCTGTTGATTTGCATGGAGTGTGCTGTGCTTCCTCATATTATTATTATAGTTTGAACCATATGGCGCACTACCACGACGCTGTTAGAAATGATCGGTATACGATTCAGCTCATACAATTTGTGAAGAATGTGATCCAGCTCATGCCTCAAAGCAGCACTTTTTCCAAACAAGCCGGCTTAGCTCTCGGCTCACCCCAAAACTATACTCGTGAGCCGATTTACGATTCACCTCGAGCCGAACACAAGTCTGGCTGTGATGTGAAGTGAAGTTTTCGGTGTTCCTCGCCCAGGGGTCCGATCCAGGATTTCGTCAGTATGCCTCGAAATGAAGGTTCTGGTGGCGCCCCCCCCCCCCCATCACCATGAAAGGTTGCTGCTGAGAAAGGGCACCAAAACCCCATGGAGGCCCATGGGGAAGCATGGCCATAGGCTGTACCACTGGGTCCCGTGCTGCGGGCCCCTAACCAATACAAGGGTCCCGTATTGACTCAGGGACCCGACCAAAGTAAATGGTAGGCCCCACCCTTGTCTCTTCTTGGGAAATGGGCCCTCAGGTCCAGCCAGGCACGAAACCGATTATTCGGTACTCGTGGTGCCTTGCCGACATAGGCTCTCATCGATTCAGCAGGCCCTAATCGATGCCAAGCGCCCTAGTGCCGGTATTTGAGTCCCCCCCCCCCCCCCCATCGGATCGGAGCTCCTAATGCGGTCTCCCGCCAGACTTTTGGTACCTTTAGGCCATTTGGTACCTTTAGGCCCCCCCAATCGGGCGCTTCTCATCGGTACCGAGTCATCCGAACGGTCCCCGGGACCTAAGGGGGAAGGTGCCCCGTTCCCCCGCCCTTGCCTGCGCCACTGCATCTTGGACCCATACGTGTCTGCGTTTAGATGGCACATATCCCGTCTACGTTATGAGCGTCATAAGCTAATCACCGATTCCATAATGTTGTTTATGCTGCCCATACCTCATTATCTTACTTAACTGTTTTGCATTTGTGTTCGGGGCGATTATTATACTGACATTGTGTATTCACCAAACGCTAATTTGGGTCGCCCAAAATTGTTTGTAGATCCAGTTTCTGTTAACTGCAGCCCGCAGGAAACATTGCATTCCCAGATCTGCTTAAGCACAGCACGCGAATGGGCACTGCCTCCTCACATGAATTTCATGTAAAACCCTGATTCTTGCTACCTCTCTTGACATCACATCTTCTGAATAATGGTTCTTGCTGGTTCCTGAGCATTAGTAAAGCCTGGATGTTGAATCTTGCTGGGGCCCAGGCCATCTTCTAGGCTAATCATGCGCCTTCCTGAATTTCTGCGGGGTTCCAAGCTAGTTTCCTAGTTTTTCTGGATATCTCTAATTTCTGCCGCATTTCTGGAGTGATTCTAAAATAGTTGCTGCGTTCTCCTTGGTCCCGGAACTAAGAATCGGTTCTCCGGAGGAAACCTTGGCAACAGACACATGTCTGCTCTCACGAGCCATTCCATATGCGCCGCGGCAGTAATACGCATTTGTCTTTGAGCTGCAGTCTCAGCCTGCTCATGGATTCAGAAAAATTGCCGCTCTTGGTGCAAACACCGGGATAATCGCGTGAATTCGTGTTATGTTCTCTGCACTAACTCCAACAATCCGGCTGGCCGGTGCCTTCTCCCGCCCGCCCCCCCCCCCCCCCCCCCAATGAATACGCTCTATTTGCGGGTTAAAGCCACTTCCATGCTTCTAGCTGTGGCCAATAACCGCCGTCTGTAAGCCAAATACCATAAGGAGTGGAAAGCGACACGCACCCATACACGTGAGGAAAACTCTAAGAGACATGCACGTTAGATCACATGTTTGATCATGTGATCATGATCACATGTTCACACGTCACCACATGTTCACAGGAATGAGTTTTCGTTTCTTTGCATACGTTCTAGTGTGGGGGGATACGGCATTCAGGATTGACTGCGAATCACATGCTAATGCCGTGCTGGCCGCTAACCGCCGTCACCCGCGGAGATGCGCATGGCAACACATGAACGTGCCGCGCATGAGCGCACCTCGAGCTGCGCACCTCATTGTGGAGTGGGGTGATCATGTCTGGATAGGGCTCCTCAGCGAACGGCGAGCGCTATGCTGACCTCTCACCTGCGTGCGGGCCTGACGCCGTCTCCGTGCGTACCACCTAGAGGCGCAACTGTCGCACACTGGTCACATGCAGAGCCTGTCGAGTGATGCAACACGGCCGCGGGCCCACTAGCCACACAGGCACGCCATGGCCTTGGCGCTGATAGGCCTCGCCGAGCGCGGCAGATAGCGACCGGTGTACCGCCGCCGCCGCCGCCGCCGCCGCTTGCGGCCCCGGCCCTGACCGTGAGTCGGAGACGCCGTCCTGCGGCCCGGCACCAGCGCGGTTACCGCTCGTGTCCCGTTGTGCAACGCCCACAGTGTACGTACGCGGGTGCACGGACCGGACCCAGCCCGCCAACGGTCAGATGGATGGGAGGGTGTACCCAGAACGTGGGCCATTACGTACGCCGTTGACACCTTAAAGGTTGGATCCAGGAGTTCCGATCTCGGAGAACACATTCCCCCGAGACGCATCATACGTATCAGCGCGTTTCTGTGTTATGAGCGTAAGAAAGGTCCTTCGCGATTGGTGCTCTTTCACAAAGATACGATCTTTTAAACGTATACGCAATAGATATCATTTGGATCAATCATAATGAGCGGTTAGCTCCCAGAGCTCTCATTCCTTGCATTGCATTCTACGGGCACTGGAACATAACATGCTGAGCTTCGGCCCGTCAGAATGCCAGGAATTAGGTCTGAAGGTTTTTTTTACTTGCTGGCTGATATATATATATATATATATATATATATATATATATGTATATATATGTATATATATATATGTATATATATTATATATCCCTCTCCCTCTTTCCCTCTCTCTCTCTTCTCCCCCCTCCTCTCTCTCTCTCTCTCGTGTGTGTATGCGTGTGTCGGCTGCGAAGAAGGACCCGGACGGGCCCACCGAAACCGATGATCAAAAGCCCGGCAAGAGGCCTCGAGACGGAGTATTGTTTGAGGGGGTCCGAAGAAGGGTCGAAGGGTCTCTCGAGACCAAAGATCAAGGGCCTGACGGGATGGCTGAAAGGTCCCGAAGGGCTGGCTGTAGGTCACATTAAGGACCCCTGCTCATAGGGCCGTGATCTTAAATGTGAGTAAGATGATCTCTTGCACCGATAGGGACCTCTGAAACAGAGCGTTCCTCTATTTCAGCTAGAGATCACGAACGCAACGAACAGTCGGCTTCGTGTTGGTCTGACCTCTGGGAGCCCATTTCCCAAGCAGAAACAAGGCCGGGTCCGCGATTTACATTGATCGGGCTCCTGTATCGTTCAGGGGCCTACAGCGCCTAGCAGTGAATAACATTCTGTGTCATCAACGGGCTTCGATTCGGTCCGGGGAAGGTTTGCTCAGCAGGGATGGGGACGGGGGTCCGAATGGCAGAGGGTTTCTTGCGTTGGTCGAGGCCCTCTGACAATTAAAGGAAACATTAGAATTTAGGATGAGTGCTCACATTGAGGTAATAGGAAGAGTCCTGTGCCAGTCAGGGCTCCCAGTTCCGAATGTTGGACCTTCCAACCGTGCTCCGGCATGGTCTCGTTAAGCCCACTTGCCCACGGGGGACTGCGCCAATTATTTGACCACTTGCAGTGAGCAGGGATGTTGTTGCGTTAAAGACGGTCCGTGGCGCGATCTGGGTCAGCTGCAGGGGTGAGAAGGTCTCTCTCTTCAGGAAACGGACCAATGAAATGAGATGTATCTGTCTAAGAGCCTCCGGATCGGCCAGGAGATGCCGCCCGGTGCTGCCAGAATGACGGCCGAAAAACATACCGCGGTGGGACAGATGGCCCTCCAGGCCTTGACCGGGAACGACAATATGCCCCGTAGTGTTATACTCAGGGCGCCCCTTTGGATGTAGTTGGTCAAAATGAATTCAAAATGCACAAGGCCATCTCATGTTTTCCTGAGAATGTTCTTTATTTTGCAGAATCGACTAGTGAAGCAATTATTATCAAAAGGTTTGAGCATGAACGCTGGGTGCCTCTAGTGCAGTGTTAAAGCGCCTAGGTTAACCGCTGCACGTCTGGGAAACTACAGGTACGGGGCTCGATGTCCCCACGGTCCCCGCGCTTCCCATTAGGATGAGAGGCTGGCGGCGCCACATAGCCCCAACAGTTGAGTGCGCCATAAGGCCCAAATGATGCGCCTATAATCTCGGGGAGCGAGGAAAGCGATGGCCTGGGTTTTTACAAAACCGAACGGCTTTAGCCAGATCAAGTAGCGGCAGGGGGCGAGCGCAGTGCGCGCAGCAATGACATCGTAAAAAAGTGTTCGTAAATGTCTTTCAAATTAATTCGCTCAGTCCAAAAAATACACCGGTCAATTTTGTACAGCCTTGAGGTTGTCTTCTGGACAGACTAACAGCTACAGCAGTACGGAAAATGGAGATTTTATCCTACTTTTCCAGTTCATCCACCAGATTCCAGCACTACTTCGCGGTGCTGTTAAGACCAATACGTTACGGTCATCAGTCTAAAACTGCACAGTGGAAATATGCGCCCGGAATGTCTCTAGAAGTACGATTTAGTGTCGAAAGTCGTTCAAAGTTACTTCTTTCAGATGCGTCACCCTTTTTGTTCACCTGCTGGCCACGGGCTAGTGCTAGCTGCGGGGCCGACGCCGCTCGGCCTAAGGAGACTGCAACGTCTGGCGTTGGGTTTTCCGTTACAAATACATGCGAGCATATATGGATTATATGCATACGTATGTGAGCAAACTCAAAGCAGCCTTGCATGATTTTGGTCACTGCGATATTAAAAGCGCGTTAACAAGGTCATTGGCCTTAAATGAACATGTGACTGTAGTGCTCGTCACAAGCAGTTCACTCGTGACAGCGGTGTCCAAAACAGGGCAGACAAAGATTCCGGAAGACTATATTTCTCATAGTGCTGAGGACGGTGGTGTACCATAGTGGTGAACTAATACTATGGAAAGGTCAGTGTTACGAAATCACCGCTGGTGCATTCGCGTACACTACAGTGACCTTTTGCTGAGAACAATTATCTAGCTTTGCGGGCACTTTAAAGACCAACCTGGTATTTGACCTTGTTTGACCCTATTTGAGCCCAAGGTCATGACCTGAAAATCTCAAACTTTGACCTACATGCCCTCAACAACAAATAAGTAATATCCGGTGACTTTTTTCTTGGTGGGGCCCTTATACTATCAGGGGGCCCTTTGTCAGCTCTGTGCCCCCTCCCCTGGCAAGGTTGCCATTTACATTCTAAATTGGGAATACTTCAAAACCCGATACATGTTGGAATGCAGCTATCGGGGTGCTGGCATGCTGCAAATTGAACGGAGAGTGGTGGACTTACTGTTATATTTTGACATCCCTACGCATTTTCCTGCGTCAAATTGTAAAATTCACCTAATAGAGACAGACGCTGTTCACATACTAGAAAACAGAACAAGTCATCAACTTAAAGAAGACGCCGTGCCTATCCCAATCACAAAGCAAACTATTAGGTTATTGATGCTATTCAAAATATACCTGTGCGAAGAATCAAACGTTTCAGCGGAAAGGCCAGTTTGTGTGGGCTTGATTATAGGATGTGAAATTTGTATAAAAGTGACATCGTTTGTCATAAATCCCAGATAAATGTATAGATATGCTAAATGTTTCATAGGTTAATGCACCAATGTTTACTTTGGCGTTTAGATGGGAGCATTGACTTCCAATTTCGACATGAAATTGCGCAGCTTTGCGCGTAAAAAAACGTTATCGAGTTACGTCAACCATGTTTTGGTGGCTTACCATTAAGCTAAGAGTGCAGTAATTACGCTGGCAGCTAAGCATGCCCCTGGAAGCTTGAAAGGCACAGAAAGCTTGCTTTTGTGAGCTTAAAAAAACAGCCTGTGATAGAACTGATGGCTTCCCAAGTATATAAATGACTAAATCCCGATTGGTATTGAAGTATATGCTGCCTATGAAAGCCAACATTTAAACGAACGACACTGATGAGACACCCGGCCACTGTCCTTCCCCGAGGTCGACGTGGTGGCGGGTATTGCTCGCCGGGTGTGGGCGATATAGTTGCCAGGCCGGGCTGCCGTCCCGCGCCGACGGCCGGCTCCGGTGCCCGTGGTCGTGAGGCGCACGCCTGACCCGTCCCCACGCACGGATAGAGCTGCCAGTCGCAGACCTTGAGCGTCAGCTCCGGGACGGGAGGTTGGCGGCACCTCCGACCTCCGACGGCGGCCGGCGCAAACCTTGGGCGTCAGCTGGCGCCCGGGCGGAGTGACGCCGCGGCCGTTCAGTTGAGTAAAAAAACTGCCATGATAAGTCTGCTGGAAGCTCATATTCTTCACAACAGCGCGGATTTCAGCGTCTGACTGATTCGAAAAAGGCGCCTCCATATCATCGTGGCAAACGCGGCAACGCTCCCTGATCTGAGTGCACGCGCGAAATCGCTGCCAATCGTGCGCCTTGCTGTAAGGCAACCGGAAGGTAACATGACCGCGCAATTCGCGGGCAGGGAAATGAGCCGCAGATGTTGAATGATCCCCGGCCGACTACGACTCCGGCAACACAGGAAGGGATCGTCACCCACACGGCACAACAAGAAAGAGAAAGTGTGTGTGTGGGGGGGGGGGGGTGGAGGGGGAGGGGTGTCGGTGTGGTTGCGAGTGTGTGTGTGTGTGTGTGTGTGTGTGTGTGTGTGTGTGTGTGTGTGTGTGTGTGTGTGTGTGTGTGTGTGTGGGTGGGTGGGTGGGTGTCGGTGTGGGTGTCGGTGTCGGTGTCGGTGTCGGTTTGGTTGCGGGTGTGGGTGTGGGTGTGGGTGTATGGGTGGGTGTGGGTATGTGTGCTACTGTTTAGGCGTTGGTTTATCCTTGAGTGTTGTGAGTGCTTCGTTTTGCTTTTTCTGGCCGGCGCGGCACGTTTCCACTTATTTTAGCATCCTTCTTTGATCTGAAAATACATGCTATGTCGTATGCCAACGTTTTAACCAGAAAACCAGCTGGGTGTCGAACCACCCAGAGCGTATGACTTAGGGACTAAGCAGAAGGCTTGGCGGACAACGGGATGGTACAGGGAACAATTCCAACATTGCAACGGTAGGAAAGGTGAAAACCTACTTCGAAGGCCTTGGTGTAAGTGTTACAAAGTTG